ATGTACTTCTCTCGAAATAATAATAGAAGTCCTTTGATCATCTATTCCATCTTTTTTTCATCATAATTATTATAGTTACATATTTATGTAAACTTAATTATTAATTTAAGATATTAATAAAATTATATATTGACAAAAAAAATAAAAATTATTATTTTATTAGTTTGTGATATATTTTGATGGATTCAACTTATATAAAATTTAGTAATTTTTGGACATTGATCTACGGCTTCCGTTTGTAAATGTAAAGAGATATCAACATAATATCAGATAAAATTACTTTTTTTTTATATAATCAAGATATAAAGGAGACCGTTGTAGATTTTTCTCCGATCAAATATAAAGAACATTGACTTTTCAAAAAAAAGTAAAAGAGAAAAAAAATATATAGCCGTTGTAGATTTTTCTCCGATCAAGAGCGATCGCGTCTTGTATTCTATGGATTGATTCATTCAGATCATCGGAGGATGAAAACCCTAAAATTACACTGGCCAAGTCTCCGCTTGTGAAATATGGTAATTGGAAGAAATTGGGGGAGAAGAATCAGAGTCGGAACCCGAAACCCAGCTCCGAATCGGAGGTTTGTTGTGGTGGCGAGAAAGAAATCGAGGAAGGGGAAGAAGGATCGAGGGTCTACGAAGGGGGGGAAGAAGGACGTGCGTTTGTGTGGCGTCGCAAAAGGAAGAAATTGGCGCTGAAGAATCAGAGTTGGAACCCTAAATCCATCCCCGGAATCGGAGGTTTGTTGTGGTGGCGAGAAAGAAGTCGAAGAAAATCACATGGATACGACGACTCTCGCGTTTTGTTTGGTAAGAGGAATCATATTTCCAGGATGTAATTGTTATATCTCGTGCTTCTGGGTCATCTCATGGATTATATGATTCATCTTTATCACTGTATCTCGTCTTGTTCAATTATTTGGATTAAACGTTTCCTGCGATTGTGAAATCAGGCTGTTTTGATGATCTGATTATCCGATTTGAAATTGCTGCTGCTACTTGCGAATTGAATTCTTCTTATTGCTGATCTAAGCAAAACTCTTCTTGTTTATGGGAATCTTCTAAAAAATATGGCTAATTGAGCACCAAGGTGAGTGAGCTGAGACCAGGAACCAACGGTCACTCGCCGAACGTGACAATTGTCAGCACGAAGATGGTGATGCAGAGAGGAGGAGGTCGTGTCCCAGTGGTCCCCAGGCTCGTCAGATGCGGATTGCAGAATGTCTTGTTGGAGATGAGACTGAAATCATCATCTTTACGACAAGAAACGATAATGTCAAGTGGTACGGAGTTGAAGGAGAGTACAACGTCATTGACCTTACTGTAGCAGAAAACTTTCTTTGAGAACCCTTCTCATGCTTGCAGACCAACGAGTGAGTCATATCTTGCAGGCTTTTCACGGTTTGAATACCATGTCTCATCCATAATGTGTACACTTCTCTTTTCTTGGTTTCAGATTAACAGAGTTGAGCATATGCATACTAGAAGTTTCATTCACCGTGAGATCAAGCCCGACAACTTTTTTAATCAGGTGCCATCTCTGAGAACTGCTCTTGATCATGAACTTGTTCTCATTTTATATCCTGGAAAGCATAATTATGTGCTCATTTAGGAAAATCTGACATTATTGAGCTTTTGATTCATTGTCTAGCTTTGATGACTTATAGCATAAATGATGTGTGAAGAACAGGTCCTGTGTGTAGAGACTGAATGTCCTCCTATTATTAGAGAAGGTTTACATATATATACAGAGCTACAAGTATGAGAATAGGGCTGAGTCATGTACAGTTAAAGTCATTACCATATATAAATATAGACATCCTCAATACGCCCCCTCAAGATGGAGGGGCTCTTGACACTCCAATCTTGGAGCATGCTCGCTGAAATTGTTGTCGTGGTAGAGGTTTTGTGAGAGCGTCAGCGAGCTGATCTTTCGTAGAAACATGAGACACCCGCAGAGTTCCAGCTTGTATTTGGTTCCGAATGAAGTGGTAATCGAGTGCGATGTGCTTCATTCGAGAATGGAACACCGGGTTTGCACACAAGTAAGTGGCGCCAATGTTGTCGCAGAAGATAGTTGGTGCACAAGGCAGAGATATCCCGAGTTCCGTAAAGAGGGAGCAGATCCAACGTACCTCAGATGACGTGTTGGCAATGGAGCGGTATTCAGCTTCAGTGGACGATCGAGCAACACCGCGTTGCTTTTTAGAAGACCACGAGACAGGATTGCTACCGAGGTAGACGATGTACGCATTTGTAGAGACGTAGTCATCCGTGTCACCAGCCCAATCAGCGTCAGAGAAAGCATGAAGTGTGAGTGGTGTTGCTGCTTTGATGAAAATTCCATGCGTGACTGTGCCGGCGAGATAGCGGAGGACCCGTTTTGTAGCCTGCCAGTGAGCCACCGTTGGCTGATGCATGAATTGGGAGAGCCTGTTGACCGCGAAGGATATGTCCAGTCTGGTGAAGGCGAGGTATTGCAGGCTTCCTACAACAGAGCGGTATTGAGCGGCGTCAGTTACAGGGGAGCTGTCATGTAGAGTGAGTTTCGGAGATGTAGGCAGGGGAGTCGATACGGCTTTAGCGTCAGTCATGTTGGTCTTCGCAAGAAGATCAATAATATATTTTCTTTGCATCAGATGAAGACCCGTAGAAGTCCGTGTTACTTCAATTCTCAGAAAGTAGTGAAGGTCCGTGGGATCTTTGATTGAGAATCGCGTGGAGAAGCTATGAAGAACTTCAGATACTATCGCAGCATTACTTCCTGTGACAATTATATCGTCGACATAGACGAGAACATACGTGATAGAGGAGACTCTGTTCTGAATAAACAGAGAGGTGTCAGCTACAGAATTGACAAATCCAGCGGCAAAGAGATGTTGTTTAAGAGCATTGTACCACGCACGCGGTGCCTGTTTGAGTCCGTAGATGGGTTTACGCAGGCGGCACACATAGTGAGGTCTGTCTTTGTCAACAAAACCAGGCGGTTGGCTCATAAATACCTCCTCCGTGAAATTGCCTTGGAGGAATGCATTAGTAACATCCAACTGTTTGATAGGCCATGATATTGTAACTGCAACCTCAAGAACAAGCCTGATAGTCGTGGATTTGATGACGGGGCTAAAGGTTTCAGAGTAGTCAACCCCATACTGTTGAGTGAATCCCTTAGCGACGAGACGGGCCTTGTGACGTTGTAGGTCTCTATTTGGGTGATACTTCAATGTGAATACCCATTTGCAACCCACCACATTCTGATTTGGACCTGGAGAAACTAGATCCCAGGTATAGTGAGTAAGCTGAGCATCATACTCCTCCGACATAGCTCGACGCCAATATTCATCCTGCAACGCTTGAGCGACTGTAAGTGGCTCATGATTAGCTGATTTGACAGTAGAAACGGTGAGAGTGAGACGGTCAATAGGTTTAACGATGTTGTCTTTGGCTCGGGTTCGCATATTGTGGAGATTTGGTGGTCTTTGGGTAATCGGGTATGGGTGTGAACGTTTTGTACGGCGTTTGTATGTTATCGCAGTTTTTGATCGGAGAGAGGTTGAGGAGGATGAGCGATTATTGAGTATGGGCTGTGTTTGTGGTTGGGATTGCTGGGCCTGGGGCTGAGACCCATTTTGAGGTGGAGCAGTGGGCTCTGGGAAAATATGAGGTATTTGGGCCGTGGGTGTCGGCCCATTTTGTCTTTGAGCAGTGGGCTCGACGGAGGACAGAGACGAAGGGTTAGAAGGCAATACCTGTGTGGAGGTAGTCGGAGGTTGCAATGTCGTCGGTGTTGGTGTCGTCGCAGGGTGAGAATCTGAGCACAACGGGGTCGCCGTGGAGTTGGGAATTTCCGTTGTCATCCAATCAAGAACGGGTTGAGATGGAATCGCTGAAATCGTTGGTGTCAATGCTTCGAAAAATGGGAAAATGTGTTCCACAAATTGAACATGGCGTGAGGTGTAGAGCCGAGCCGTAGGAAGGTGAAGACAATAGTATGCGCTCTGGGTTAGTGAGTATCCCAAGAACACACACGGTGAGGATCTATCTTCTAGTTTGTGACGGTTATATGGGCGAAGACATGGGAAGCAAAGAGACCCTCAAGGATTTGTTCAAGCTGATCTTCATGATCCATCGGTTTCCCTAGGATTGCAAGTTGATCCATCTTCATTGTTATGCCTTGTAAGTATTCATCAATCGTTTTTGTACCTTTCGTCGAGTTCTTGAGTTGTGTTTTCAGTTGTTTGATATGTCCACGGCTGGGTTTCGCATATGTAGATGCGAGTTTCGACCAGATCTTGGAGGAGCTTGTCGCAAGGGACACCACGGATTGTAGAGGTGTGGAAATGGCCCCTAGGAGAGCACTGTAAATAAGTTGATCTTGCCGTTTCCACTGCGTGTAAGCAGGATTTGCAGTGGCCACCCTGCAACCGTTAGAGTGGCTGGTGGAACCGCAGCAGTTTCATCAAGGTGATTGGCGAGAGCGTGTCCATCAAGCAAGGCGTGTACTTGGAGACTCCACATCAGGTAGTTGGTTGCGGTTAGTTTAGTGACATTCGTCATGTTGATGTGAAGGAGAGCATTAGTATTTGGAATGATTGTTTCAGTCATGGTGTTTTGGTGTGACGGCTGAGGAAAAATTTAGGTTTTAGGATCGACTTTGCTCTGATACCATGTAGAGACTGAATGTCCTCCTATTATTAGAGAAGGTTTACATATATATACAGAGCTACAAGTATGAGAATAGGGCTGAGTCATGTACAGTTAAAGTCATTGCTATATATAGATATAGACATCCTCAATACTGTGTAGAAATGAACCGTCTTAGTTTGTTTTCTACTTCCGTTACTGCCGGTCTCTACGATTTCATGACAAACCTGGTCACTCTTACCTGAAGAGGCTATTCCGCGACTTGTTTATTCGAGAAGGTTTTTTATCACACATTTCAATATTATAGCAAATCATCTTTAATCACTCCAAATTTCTTAATTCTCTCAAATTTCACTATCAATGGCAGGTTATCAGTTTGATTATGTATTTGAGTGGACAGTCCTCAAGTATCCGCAAGTTGGTTCAAGTTCCGGTTCTAGATCAAGGACACGGGTAATAATAATCTATTCGCATTTCTCGAAAGTTTCTCTATGTATTCAAGCGTAAAAGTGATAAAATCTTTCATATGTTCCAGAATCATACTGCTGCGAATCCCGGCTTGATTGCAGGACTTCTGTCGAAAAACCAGAAAGGAAATGAACCCGGTAAATTTTTTTCTCTGTTATTTTTTTCATTTTTCATTCTCGGTAAAAAAAAATATCTCAGTTCCATTTCCCACGCACTTATTGTGCAGGAAAATAAATAAGCAATAGGTTCTCAGGTGCGGTTGAGGCTTTTATCGGACAACTCCGTTTGAAGGCTTGGCATCAAGAAACTCCGATGATTGGCCTTTCTCTAAGCACTCGGTAAACAACAAAACCTTGTTTACATTACTAAAAGCAAAAAACTCATATCTTGTTTAAATCGGATCTGATGCAATTCCTCACACTGTAATTTTGCTACTTTCCAGAGGAGAGACCTAGAAGAACAATCATTTCCATTTTCAAACTCACAAAAAAAGATATGTTTTCTTCTTCCTTCTTTTTTTTTTTTCATTTGGTTTATAATTTAGATTAGTTTAAAATTGATTTAATTTATATTAGTTGTGAAACTAACCAAACATGGTATCCAGCCATTTGAATTCATTTGGTTATTAGAGATTGTTTATGTTTAATTTGTTTTTACAACTAATGTCAATTAAATCAATTTTAAACTAATCTAAATCGATTTAATTTGTTTTCTTTTTGTTTTTTTTTTCCATTTGGTTTATTATTTAGATTAATTTAAAATTGATTTAATTTACATTAGTTGTGAAACTAACCAGACATGGTATCCAGCCATTTGAATTCATTTGGTCGTTAGAGATTATCTATATTTAATTTGTTTTCACAACTAATGTAAATTAAATCAATTTTAAACTAATCTAAATCGATTTAATTTGTTTTCTTTTTTTTCCATTTGGTTTATTATTAGATTAATTTAAAATCGATTTAATTTACATTAGTTGTGAAACTAACCAGACATGATATCTAGTCATTTGAATTCATTTGGTCCTTAGAGATTATCTATGTTTAATTTATTTTCACAACTAATGTAAATTAAATTGATTTTAAACTAATCTAAATCGATTTAATTTGTTTTCTTCTTTTTTTCCATTTGGTTTATTATTAGATTAATTTAAAATTGATTTAATTTACATTAGTTGTGAAACTAACCAGACATGATATCCAGCCATTTGAATTCATTTGATCGTTAGAGATTATCTATGTTTAATTTGTTTTCACAACTAATGTAAATTAAATCAATTTTAAACTAATCTAAATCTAAATCGTCGATTTAATTTGTTTTCTTCTTCCTTTTTTCATTTGGTTTATAATTTAGATTAGTTTAAAATTGATTTAATTTATATTAGTTGTGAAACTAACCAGACATGGTATCCAACCATTTGAATTCATTTGGTCGTTAGAGATTACATATGTTTAATTTGTTTTCACAACTAATGTTAATTAAATTAATTTTAAACTAATCTAAATCGATTTAGATTAGTTATTTAGATTAATTTGGTTTATTATTTAGATTAATTTAAAATTAATTAGTTGTGAACCTAACCAGACATGGTATCCAGCCATTTGGATTCATTTGGTCGTTAGATAATATTTATGTTTAATTTATTTTCAACTAATGTAAATTAATCGATTTTTTATCAGGAAACAAAATGATAATAATAATAATAGTAATATTAAATAAAACTTGTATATAATAAGATGGAATCTGGTGTTGTTTTTTGTATTGTTGCAGGTTTAAACTTTTTCTACAAAATAAAATCGGAAGTAGAGATGCCTAGAAAAGAAAACTTAAAAAAAAATACATTTTCTATTATTTTTTTGTATTTATTCGAATTAAAATTTGGATTAGTTTAAAATCGATTAGATTTACATTAGTTGTGAAACTAACTACACATAGTATCTAGCTATTTGAATTCATTTGGTTGTTAGAGATTACTTATGTTCAATTTATTTTTACAACTAATGTAAATCAATCATTTTTTTTATTAGAAAACAAAATGATAATAATAATAATAATAGTAATATTAAATAAAATTTGAATCTAATCCTAACACGGAATCTGGTATTGTTTTTTGTATTGTTGCAGATTTAAACTTTTTTATGAAATAAAATAAAAAAACAGAGATGCCAAGAGAAAAAAAAAACTCAGAAAAATATGTTTTCTATTCGCTTATTTATTTATTTAAATTAAAACATGAATTAATTTAAAATCAATTAGATTTACGGTTACAAAACATACTAATTAATAGAAGGTGATTAAGACTATAGTTTGAGTAAAACAAGGCACGTGACAGCTGAAGTCTTCAGCTTGAGATTTCTCATTTGGGAATCGCCAAACGCCAAAACCTCCCTTTCTCGTAATCATTGTCTTCTTCTTCATCATCTTGATTAGAACCAAATGCTCTTGTTGAATGTGGTTGCCTTTTTCTCCAGCACCCTCGTGCTTCTTATGCCTCGAGGATCATTCATCTTTTTGTTAATACTCACATTGATAACGTTTCAAATGATTTTTCTTGACCTTGTTGAGATTTTTTTTTTTTTTTTTTATCTTTTTGGATTTGCTTTCCATATATGGAACAGACGTTATTGAGGAATTTATTTGCACCACAAACGAAACGGATTAGATTATTTACAGATCCCTAAATAAGCACAAGTTGAAGGGTGTTTTAAAAGCTTTCCTCCGGCCGCCAAGAGGCTAAAGCAAGTGACATCATCTCATCATCATCATCATGAAAAGATCTAAGAGGAGGGAGGAGACTGTCGGAAACAATCGAAAGATCGTTACGAGGTCTGTGTCTAAGAAACAGAAACCCGACGATAAAGGTGACGACGACAATAAAAACTCAGTTCTTCTTCTTCCTTTAGATTTACTCATAGAGATTGTCGCGAAATTGCCGCCTAAATCCATAGCCAGGTTCAGATTCGTTTCAAAACTCTGGCTTTCTGTAATCCGCGGGAAACATTTCGCCGGTTTGTTCATGGCTCGATCCTTGAGTCGCCCCTGTTTTCTCTTCACGTTCCACCGTGGCGGAGACCGGCTTTTCCACTCATCATCTCACGAGTCACCGTCCTCTCACCATCAGATCATTCGTGCATGCACTACTCTGGATCAAAACTACAGAGTCTCTGCACCGCCGGTCCGGGGTTTGATCTGCTTTCACAATGCTTCTAAGATGGTGATTTGCAACCCTAGCACGGGCCAAGTCTCTGCTTTGCCCAACGTCAAAACCAGAAGAAAAGGTATTTCATGCTTCTTGGGATACGACTGCGTTGAAGATGTACACAAAGTGTTGTGCATGACGACGGTGCTCAACTCCAGCGGACCGGTCGTGTCGAGCGAGCACCAGGTCCTAACATTAGGAGGACCCGGGAGAAAAACATGGAGGATGATCCAGTGTCCGCAGCGTCCACATTGTCCTGCAACTAACGCGCTGTGTAAAGATGGTTCTGTGTACTACGGAGCTTGGTCCAACACTTACCGCCAAGGATCACTACTCGTGTGTTTCGATTTTAGTCTGGAAGTCTTTAGCTTTGTGAAATTACCTGAGGAAGTCAACATTCACCTTCATCCTCGATCTGAATTGGTGAACTATCACACCAAGTTAGCCTTGGTAGTGAACCAGTCGTATTGTGGTGGTCACGTTGAGCTGTGGGTTCTTGAGGATGTCGAGAAACAAGAATGGTCAAAGATCCCTCTTGTGGTTCCTTTTTGGAAAGACACAGTTGGACATAGCTATTTCCGTTGCATGGGTACCATTCGTACCGGCGGTTTTATATTCGCACCACACTCTCTCCATGACCCTCGCCCATTCTTTCTTGTCTATTACGATGATAAGGAACGCAAAGCTACAAAACTTGAGTTTGAAGGAATCGGAAATCACTTACCTGAAACTGCTGATCCTGTGACATTATATTTGGATCATGTGGAGAGTGTTATGCTTCTTTAGATGCAACTCTATCTTGTTCATGACTCTCTTTTGGCTGGTGTTAATCTTTTCTGTTCAGTCTAATGTATGAATATCTCAGATATGTTTAGTTATTCGAATTGAAACATATGTTCCTTCACCCATTTGTCTAGTCTTGTTGAGTTGAAAAACTCTGTTTTCGTCGGCATGAGAAACAGAGTAGACTCGTTATGCAAGTTACAGAGTAGTTGACTGAAAATCGATTGAACAAAACATTCTTTACCATAAAAAAAGATTAACGACAATAGAAATGAAAAAGATAAAGATCATCAATGGACCAACTATTATTGTTCCTTTACATGAGTAAAAGACTATCGACATGATCCAACAATGTTCGAACGAATAACCTTGGACCTCCAACCTGTGTTGCGATCATAAATCTTCTGAGATTTTGTGTGACTGGATTGTAATACAACACGAAGAATGATCTGTCAAAGAACCTGTTTGGTGCGAAAACAAGCTCACCTGTGCCAATAAAACCTTCGAAAGTAAACGACATATCCCCAACTACTTCTCTCCAGCAAGGAATCGCAACAGATAATCTCCACCATTCTCCTGAAACTCTGTTCCTCACCAACATTTGAACTACGCTATTGTCAAACTTCTGGTTCACTAACGCAAAGTCCTCCTTGTAATTCACCAGTTTCGTTATCCGACTAGGCTGGATTTTCACTCCCTCGGGCAAATCAATAACAGCAAACTCTTCGGACACGATGTTGAAGCTCATCACAACAGATTTATGTCGACCGGACCAAGCTCCATAGTACAAAACTCCTTCTTTGCATAGTCCATTAGTAGCGGGATAATGACGAGGCTTACATCTGATCTCTCTCCAAGATTCTCCATCTGATCCTACGGTCAAAACTTGAAATTTCCTACCACCTTGTGATGGTCTATCATACGTGAAACACGTCATACATAACACCTTGAATACATCCGTAGCTTCATCGTATCCGAAATAACTTGTTGTCTGCGCTCCTTCACCGGGGGCTCGGATCTCCGGTAAAGTCAGAAACTTGTTCGTGCCCGGATTGCATAGCACAAACTTAGTTCCACTGTGAAGACAGACCAAACCTCGGATGGACTGAGAGACGTCATAATCTAAAGTTATGCGCATCTGTTGTTGACCAGACAACAGCAATGATTCCTCTTCTTGATAGACAGAGTGGATCAACACATCTGTTTCTTTTCCGATGAACCTGAACATCAATCGAGGTCTTGTCATCGAACGGAGCAAGAAACGATCTTTGAATTGTTTCTCTCGGACTATCGATGCCCATTTCTTTGACACACACATAAATTTCATTATAGACTTTAGAGGCATCCGAACAAGAATCTC